TGAATTATCACCATTCCATTATACCATGCTTCCATTTTGCTTCCAGCAATTGGAAAGTTGCTCTTAAGCTTACTGCCGAGGGATCATGAACCCAAGCCTTCATCTCCAATGTAGCTTCCAACTTTGAGGCAAATCAAGAAAATATTCTGGCCTCTTTACAGGTGAGCCCCATTCAGCAGCCAGATTCCAAAAAGAGCAGGAAGGAGAGGAAGTTGGGAATCTGCTTGTGGTGTTCAGAGTATATGCTAGTATATGACGGGGGCTTAAAGACCCAGCTGGTCCAGACTGCCCATTTTACAGATGAGGAAACTAAAACACCAAGAAATGAAGGGAACCCAAGGTCTCACAGCTCAGGGTCAGAACCCAGGCATACTGGTTGCCAGACCAGTGTCTTGCTACTATCATTAAAAGTCAAAGTTTGGTTCTAGAAAAATCCCAAAAGACCTGAATCCTCACCATCCCCCAAACCAGTCTTGGTAATTTTTCCATTGCCTTCATGGAAGAGTAAATGTCTAGTACAAACTTTTATTTTATCACTCTCTTTTTGTTTTTACTTTCTCGTTTGGTAATCGAAAACAGTTCATCACAATGCTCTCAACTGAACTGTCTTCCTCTTACAGGCAGATACTGTAGTTTCCTAGTAGCAAATAGTGGCAGGGCTGGAAACCAGAATATTGTTTTTGGTTTTTTTTTTTTAAGATTACAGTTTTTTCTATAACAATGATTTCACATTCTAGGTGCAAAACAGGTATGGTTTCTCTCACTCTTAACTCCTGCAAAATCTAGACTGGATCAAATTTAGAATCTGGTTAAAATCCCATATTTTAGGACAATATGTTCTAACTGAAAGCTCTGGGTTGGCTATATTGTGTTTTTTCTTTCCCCAAAGACTTTTAAATAGTTTTCATTTTTAAAAGGATTTCAACTTCGAATTGTGCCGATGCCAAAATCTCTATACATCTAATCAATCAATAAATAAGACAAACAAAGCAGCATATGTTTATCCTTTACCATTTGGGGAGTGTACATTAATTATCGCAGACGGTCTCCTATGCATCTCCCCCCGTTGCAGACAGCAGTGCTCAAAAGGGTCCGCAAAATAAAAATGTATGGGGTAATTAAATGGATATTTATAATTAGAACTTAATAATTTGCATCAGGGACAAATGAGCTCTGATTTTAATCTGCAGCGCATTTAGATTAGCCCAAAGATAGTGTAATTTGATGGTTTATAGGCCTCCTCTCAGATTAGGAAATAACACCAAGCCTTCCAAGACAGCGCGTCTGTGTCAGGAGTGTGTTAAGGAAGAAGATGCAATGAGAATGTTTGACAATGTGAAAGCAGCCATAAATTACATGACAACTGTGTAAAAGTCATGATGAAACAAATAAAGGGCTGACCTATAATGCGTCTGATTCATTGTGACACACACAGCTCCCTGCACTAATCTCTGCCCAGCCAACACATTCTTAAGCGGGGAACTACTTAGCACCGGGAACGCAGTAAATTATCACTAGTCAACAGCATTGATTTTTAGTCGACATTTCAATCAGGTTGTAGTAGAAATACTACCCAGCTCATCCAACAGCCTCTTAACCAGTCCGCTGCCCCTCTGCAGTCTCCTCAGTTATGGCTTTGTTAAATTTCCATTGCTCTCACCATTCAATATTTATTATAGCGTTGCCACATCCAGGCACTTGGCCTGAAAGGTCACCGGCCTGCCTCTTGGGACATTAAATTCGTGCTTACCTTATCGGAGGCAGAACCAAAAAAGAAAAAGAAACAAAAGGCCACCATCAGAGAGCTGGCCTGATTTTCAAGAGAACGGAGAGAAAACTGGGGTGGGGGGGAATTAGGGGCTCTAAAGCAATGGTATTTTCTTTATTACTTCAGCTTTTCAGTCTAGGGGTCCCAGCCAACAAAACTCAGAGCTTCTCTTCTGGGGTGCTCAGTCCTCAACCTGGGGCATGTAGAGATGTGGGGAGCCAGGCGAAGAAGAGGTGAGGGGGAAGGAAGGAAGCACGGATCTAGTCCCAGGGCTGAGTAAGAACTGAAATGTAAGGCTTGCAGCTCTCCACCCACGTGTATTCTCAGCAGCCACCTCCATCCCCACTGCCCACTCAGAAGACCGCCTGCATCCATGCCAACGGCAACCTCTTGGTGGTGGGTCTACCTAAACAGCCTGCCTCGGCTCGAAGAGAACGGTTACCGAGTGAGCAGAGGTCCCAGGTGACACTTGTCGGTGCCGAGGCCAACACTTCAGCTCCCCCATGGGGCCTCTGCACACAGTAGGCACCTCCTGACTACCCCGCGACTCTAAAATTATATAAATGGTGGTCTCTGGTGGCCCGGCCAATCTGAAAGGATGGGTAATAAAAGGAAACCCCTGCCATTTGGCTTTGGAATACATTATGTAGTCCCTCTGCAACGAACCTCAGGTCTTGCTTCAGCAAATATTAATGGTGTCAGAGCAGCCTGCGGAGTGACTGGGGGAGGCCACCATGCAGCTGAAAACTTGCCTCGGGGAAAGCCACATGTGGATCATATGGAGTTGTTGACTGCAGTTTCCATTCAAAAATTCCCTCAAGTCTCCTTGCCTGCTTTCCGGACTCGCCTTACCACAGCGCTTGTTTGGCCAGAAATGAAAACCGCCTTGAAGCAGAGTATTACCGCTCAGGACCTCCTACGCACACACGCACACGCACACGCACTGTCTCCCTCACAGTGTAATTCTGATTCTCCGGACCCTTTAAAGGTGCAGTAAGTGAACAGAATGCCAAAGAGACAACAGAACATAACTGCTGAAAGCCAGACTCCACCAGCCCTTCCTTAAAAGCGCTAGCTGGGTTTCTTGGTCAGCCTTCCAGTGTCTCCTAACCAAGTCACACACACATAGTAAAACCCCCTCCCTCATCTTCTCAGGACCCTCGCCCCAGTTGCGGATCACTCTGGACAGATGGAGAAGTGGCTACTTGCAAAGCAGAATTCCTTACATTGCTGCTCTTTCCAACAGTTAGCTCGAAGACTCCTCCAATATGCCCAGGACAGCCGCCCAGGGACTGGATGGGAACATTCTTCTCCTTCCCAGAAGACTGAAAAACTCAACCACAGAACCCACAGGAGGGCGAACCGTCCAGCACCAGAGCTTCCCGCCCAGTTGGTGCCCCAGCACCACTGCAGAAAGTGGCAGACCTCGTGAAGAGGTGGCAGACGGTAATGACTAGAGGCTAAAGGACAGAATCCTTAATACTGTGAGCCCTTAAGGAGGGAAGTTACTTAACCCTTGGTGAGCCTCGATTTCCTCCTACATCAAATGGGGCTAATAGGACTTCCCTTCTGGGGTTGCTAAGGGGTAGAGTAACAATGTGTTGGATCCACAGTACGGCACTGGCAACTCTCGGTGTGCATCCTGTGTATTTATGCTTTCTCTCATTTACCCCTTGCATAGACCCTGGCAGGGAGGTTCTTTGAGTGGTCTACATTTCACAGAGGTTAAGTGGTTCACCCAAACCCTCCTGACCAGTCAGTGGTGAAGCAGGACACTGAACCCACAGCAACTATGTCAGACACCCAGGCACATTCTCCTGGTGAGGCAGCACATGTCTGCAGAGAGAGAGGCCAAGCATTGAGGGACCTGCCGATGGAGAGAAGCCCCCCCACACCAATCACCCCACCACACCAGATCTGCAAGGGTTCCTGAGCTTTCTCCACCCAAAGGCCCTTTCCCACAGGAGCCCACCTTGAGGCAGAAAGAGGCTGTGAGCGCTTTAGAACCTTCCCTGCCCTGTTCTCTCATCCCAACCTGCTCTCCCCACACAGGGAGAAGCTACAGCGAGATACCAGTCCTTAAAGGAGAAAAAAGTTGTAAGCCATGAGTCATAATCGTAATAGTAACTAGCTTTCCTCAAGTGTTCACTTGGGGAAACAGGCAAGCATCCTCATATAATGCTCACAACGTCCCATGAGGTGGGTCCTGTGACACGCACACCCCCCCCCCCCGGCCTCCATTTACAGATGAGGAAACCGGAGCTTGGAAAGATGAAGAAATGTGCCCAAGCTCACACAACCAGAAATGGCAGCACTCTTTTGCCATTTTATTCTATGTACTCACAGAGGCTAAAAGGGGAAAAAAAACCAAAAAAAGGACATACACATATCTTCAAGAGTTTATTTCCCCTCACTCAGGCCCTCTTCCTTTTCTTACCACGCAGGTTACAAAGACAACCTCGGTGAGAGAGAAGACAGCATCTAAGGGCTTGGCTGAGTTTTGGGGGTTATCTGTGGGATGAGCCCAGGGACCTCCAAATTTTCCCAGTTTCTATAGGCTCCCAGACGAAGACGGGGAAGAAAACCCACCTCCCTTGTGAGGCTTCAGCCTGGGGAAGTAAACATGATTTTATCATATTTTATGTGGATGTTCACAATGGTGCCTTTTCAAGTCCATGATGGGAAAAAATATTTTTTATTGTGTGAACTGCACTTTGGACAGGCCTCCAGACCACTTGAAAACCCCAGTGTCCCCTTCGTGGAATTCTCTGGTCCCAGCGTTAGCCCCAGCAGCCCCTCTGCTGGGAGCCAGAACATGCCTCCTGCCAGTGAGTAACAGGGAAATTCAATTACCTCGCCACTTGCGGCAAGAGGGCAAAGATGCACATTAAAAGAGCCAAAAATGTCAGGAAGTTATTGGGCTGATGACTCTTGCTTGCCAACACTCGTAAGTGAATACATAGTGTCACAATAAACTAAAAAACACAGAAACACACCAAAGAAGATAAGATGATCGAGAACAAAACAAGCCCAGACACATGGGTTTGCCATCAGCCCTGCTTGGGAAATGCTGTACTTCCAACAGGGCATTTTTTCCCCCCACTCCTGGCCTTTCCTGGGCCTTGCTTGTATATGATATTGCTCAGCCACCAACAGATCAGTTCACAGGTCCTTTCCAACGAGGAGTTTAACTGCAGCCATTTAAAAAAATGGGTTCCCACCGATATCCTACCTGCACACGCAGGCCCACCTGCCATGCCCCTCTCTGGCTCGGCACACAGATACTCTGGCACGTGCACTCACACACTCTGGTCTCCTGAACACACCAACCCTTCCGATCCCCAGCCCTTGGGTTACTGGCGTTATCACAACTCTTTTTTTCCCAACGGCAAGCCAGGAAAGATGATAGAAACTGTGTATGTAGCCAAAAGACTAGCCTCAACTGGTTCAGAAGGGAAAAAACTTGAGCTGTGTATGTTTTTTTTTCTTGCCTTTAGCCAAAGACCTGGGAGCATTTGATGTACAGTCGGCAGGTATTTAAAAAAAAGAAAGAAAGAAAGAAAAGAAAAAAAAAACCCACCACTGAAAAGGCCTGGCTGCACTGGGGCCCTGACACGCTCTCATCTAAAGCTTGGCCCTCGGCCAAGTTCATCTGTTAATGGACAGCCACAACCAAGGCCTGCACCTCCCCCACCTCCCCAACTCTTCTCTGTTCTCCTACCTCTTTCGAGCTCCTAAAAACTAGACATCGATTATGTCTGCACTTTTCCCTTTCTATTCAAGATAAACAAAGTGCTTCAAGTTCAGGGCACACCCTGGGACCCTTGACAAAACAATCTATCATTCTGTCTGCTAAACCAGTCTGGCTACACCACAGCCAGGAGAGCAATGCTCCCAATGTACAATTTTCCCTTTGTGCTCCTTCCCTCTTGCTACTAACCTCTTTTCTTTACCACCTTCTCGGGAGCATATGGACTTGACCACTTTGCTTAAGGCCGTCCCGGTAACCTCAGAAATTAAAGAAAAGAATGGAGCTCCTGGCTGCCCCTCCTCCTGCCCAGGTTTTCCTGCTCCCCCTGTGGCCCCCTCTTCCCTTGGACACATACATGCATCCCGTTAGACCCACACAATCCTTTGGACCCTCTCAGCACAGACACCCAGAAAATAAATGAAATTCAGGGACTGCCCCTTCTTTTGCTCCCTGCAAGAACATTTTAAGTGAATTTTGTTTCAAATCATATCCATTAATTTATCCTAACTCGCAATTAAATGCAAGTACACTTTTTACAACCGGTACTGAATGTATTAATTACAACTACAAATGGTCAAATGAGAGCACAGTCCCTCCTAAAAATATTAATAAAATACATAATAAATAATATTAATGAAACAAAAATAGATTCAGAAGCCTTAGCCAGGGCTTTTATTATTTCACACAAGGAGAAATCCAGCCAGTGAAACTTGCTACACGTACTTTGGCAGGACTCTGGCCAACCATCACCACTGAACTCTAAAGAGCATGTTTGGCTGCAGGGTGGGGTGGGGGAGGATTACAGCAGTGCCCTGGTGCTGGGGGTTTTGTGCAGATGCCACCTTGAGAGGCCGATTGATGGCCACGGTGCACAAAGCACGGCCCATGACATCTCACACAGCTTTCCCGTGTGGCTGGGAAAAGTTACCCACAGGCTGCTTCCCCTTCCTAAGGCAGCCCAAGCTGTTACTTCAGTGCCCACTCCTCCCCTGGAAGGACAAACGAAATCCTCTAGACCCAGAGAGAAATGAGCCCTGCTAAATTAAGGGCTTAGGATTCGTGCCCCCATCAGCACCATTTACTGCACCAGCGCTGTTAGCTGCCTTGCTGCCACACCACCAGGCCCCTGCTAACCTATCTCCACATCCCGAAGCCCCTCGCTTCACCCGAAGCCCCTCGCTTCACCCCCAGCACTCCCTGCCCCCTCCCTTCCCCCCAAATCCAACACACCCACCACACAATCGAATCTAATTAAGATCAGGAGAAAATTTGCATTTTCTTTTCACTGTACCCCCAGTAATCACAGAAGTTCTTCAAATTTTGAGAATTTTGTTCCTCTGCTAATTATTTCCCTCATTTTGCATTTCAAGGCACAAAGACAGTCTATCTCACTGGTGGTCTATTAATAGTTTGAAGTTTTGAGCATCAGAAGGTAGGGTGGGTTTTTTAAATTTTTTCCTTTTAAAACTATTCTGTCATTTCCAGTTTTGTAAAAAGGGTTGTTTTTTTGTTTTTTTGTTTTTTTTGTCATTGTTGTTAGTGGTGATGATGTTCATGTTTCTTCCAAAAAGACAGCTTAGCTGTGCCATTCTGTATATTACGATTTGGTCACCCCCTTACAATAGTTACTCTTTGCCTGGTTTACTGATTTACAGAACCTTGGTATGTGAACGGCAAAAAAAAAAAAAAAAAAAGAAAGAAAGAAAAGAAAAGGAAAAAAAGAAAGAAAATTCCTTGGCATAAGTGTATGTTTGCTGATCAAATTTCAGATCATGTGTTGTTCATTATTATGACTCTGCTTGAAAAACAGTTTACCACAGTGAGATGGATTCCCTTTATATGCTCTCTACCCCTCCACTCCCTTTAAGTACTTTGAAAACCAGTATACTTTTTTTAAGGTACATCTAAAGCATGAACTGGTTTGGATTAAAACAATGTTTCAATGTCTGTAAATTCCCTCAAAATACATTTTTAAAAGACTTACACAAAGCCACACATGATTTTGAAGAAGCTAATGAGATTGTCCCACCAACAACATTTAATGGTGATTTAAGAAATTCTAATACTTTTCATTGACTTCCTATAGGGTTATTTGTGTACTTGACATTTATACAGTCTCTCCATTATATAACAATCTACTCTTGGTACACTAGATGATGCCAATCTACTAGAATGAAATTTGTACTCCATATAAGCAGAAGTTTCCAGTCGGTTTTGACTTACCATTATGTTTCAATGTAAAGTGTTATTATAGCTGAGTATAAAGCACAGCTACTCCATGCTCAGGGTTTTTAACTCTAATACTGTAATCTTTCTTGCTGCTTCTAGGGCTGTGTCAGTGTTTACATTCCTGGAAGTTAAATAAACCGACATGGCAAAACTCCTGGATAGACTGAATAATAAGGCTTGTGATGACTAAATTGTTTACTTTTTACCTTGTTAGGATCCCTTTCTTGTAAAGTTTGGGGGAGAGACAGAGAAAGGAGGAATGGGGGTGGGGGTGTGATATGATAGAAAGAGAGAGATTTACACACTGGCTTCCATATGTCACAAAGACCTTCCTACCCACAACCAACGAGAACGAAGCAGCCTGCCTAAGTTAGCTCTGCCTTTTTCGATTTGTTTTGTTTTCTTAAATACCGGGTCATTTGAATACCCCCTTGTCTACTACCTTCCCCCCAATAAAAAATATGAACATTTTTTTGCCCATTTTCAAATAGCAAATTATCCATTAGATTTCATCATATCTTAGGAAAGCAATTACATCAAGAAAATGATAGTGCGTGTGGAATCAATTATGCATGCAGTTGGCCGGAGACCAAAGGCTGTGAAGTCGGAGAGGGCAGAATCGCTCGACACACACAAATAAAAAGCCCCTGGATCTCACAGATGGACCCCATCAGTTCATCTTACTGCCTAAAAAGTTCATGCACTTAATAATTTATTTGTGTTCTGGATACTGTTTCCCAGCTGAATATTAACAACTTTGAACTGAAGCATGCTTTTAGCATGGTATGGCTAGAAGTCACGGTAGGGCAGTGCTAGGGTCCCTCGGAGGTTAAAACTGTAGTTATGTTTCTTACACACTGTTCATTTTCCATCACAATTTATTTTCTTTCATTAAACATTCCTTTTAATCAGAATATCAGTTTCAATGTTCTGATTCTGCTTGTTAACCAGTGATAAACTGCTAAACCAAAGACGAACATCAATAATACAGCACAGGCTATTCAACAGCAAAGGCAAACACCAAAATCACAGGCTCTCAAAAATCGGAAACCGTTCGTTAGCACCTTGTTTTCACAGCCAGGGCACTTGTGTACCTTGAGGGAGGCACCCGGCAGCCCAGAGACCACGATTTACTTTAGTGACGAGGGGAGGACACAGAGAGAGCAGCTGAGAGCAGAAGGCCCCAGGAAAACTTACTTGAGCTAAGAGATAAAGAAGTCAGCCAAACCCAGGCCCAAGACGTGGAGGTGCAAAAGCCATCTATTCAAAGCAGAGACCCAAAGCATTGTTAGAAAGGTCTGTAGTTTGTAGGCGTCTCTCTTCCAAAAGAGCCTGACGTCTTAATACACACTGGAATAGTCAAGTCTCTCCGCCATCAAACTGCTAACAGTGAAACTGCCCGACAACTTGCATGAGGGAACAGGGACATACATATTTCTGTACGTATCTGGATGTGCCTCCATCATACACCTAAATTTTATAGTCTTCTCCCCAAATGAGAACGACTTCCAGCCAACACTTCCACAAACTGTACTTAACGTTAAAAGAAAACGGATAAAACATATGTAATTACTCAAGGTTAGACATCTAATTCCTCAATTCACTAAAGGAAACTTGGCAAGAAGATGCATCATTTTGCTCCTTTCTACTGGGGCATCTGAGGAGGAGAGCCACTGAGGCAGCTAATACACAAAACATGATCAAAAGTGATTAACAACAGCTTCATATGCAAATTGCATTAATGAAGGAGTGCAAAGTCATCATGTAAATTAAATATGTCAAATCTCTTGGTGAACTTTCAATCTTGAGAAGAAAAAACACGGCTTTAATTTTTTTACATCATCAATTTTGCAAGATTGAAAATCTAAGAATCTTGGTGCTATAAACAATTTTCACCTTTTTTTTCTCCTTCAGCAGGCTGACAGGCCAGCCTGATGTGCACCGAATGTACATGTTAATAGGCCAATCAAAAATGCAAAACAATTCGCAATTACTGGAAGGACCTAATGGTCATTAGAATTTACAACTAGGTAATGAACTGAAGTCTGCCCACACCATGCATATTCATAAAGCAATTTAGCCTTTGAAGATTAAAGAAGTGCTTAAAATTCAAATGAGCTTTAGCAAATTATCAGTAAGATTCATCCAAAAAGCAAAGGGTTTTTCTTCCTATGATTTCCTCATTTTTTAAATGCAAAATTGTTATATCTTCCAGACTGAGCTTAAACTAAACATTGAGCTTCTAGTGAAGCCAAGGGGCTAAGAGACAAACAGAGGCTGCAAACATCGTTACGGACTTTGTTCATAAAACTAAGCCCTTAAGAGCCAAACCTATCTCTAAACATGGTAATTTATCAAAAACAGCCCAGAGTTGCTCCTAGGCAATACTGCACAGTCCTCCAACAAAACAGATTAACGCAAGTCCCACCACCCTCCCAAAAAGCCTTTTTCCCCTCAAGTTGAGTCTCCTGTGTAAACATCCACTATGGTATAAAAACAGCTTTTTCATCGGCTTGGAGTGGCATTCATTTTAGAAGTTTCTGCTTCCAAAGAGAAAAGAGCAAGGGAGAGGGTACGAGGCAGAGGAATGAGATCTGGTTTACTTCTGAGGAGTGAAAATCTTGTCGTTGGGTATGTGTCTTCCTGGGGGTTCCCCCCTCCTGCACTGGCAGCATTTAACCCAAGAGGAACAGGTCAGACAGACATCAGCTGACATTCAGAAAGTTAGGGTGTCCACCCCACCCCCCAACCCCAGTCGTTAGAGAGCATCGTGGGAATTTGGATTTTCACGCTTCCCAGTTACCAGTCTGGAGAAGAACCTAACTCACACCTTGAATGCTAACACATACCTTACTACCCTCAGGACATTCAAGAAACTCTAGTGACAGCATTCCCAGTGAAAGTCTCCCCCACTGCCATCCCAAACACTCAATCCAGGTCAAAGCACGGAGGTTATATGTAAACCCTTTCTCAGATGGTGGACAAGTCAGACTGAGAATAACAGCTTTGAAAGGACCACGTGCCCGTGCTTATTGCTCCAAAGCTGGACCCAAAGGGCTCTCTGCTTTGGTGACTGTGTTTGAGCCCCCACTGAAAATATTCCAGTAGCTTCTCTCTGCCACCCTTCTCCCCCTTTCTCCACCGCCCCAGCCTCAGATGTTTTCCTGGAGTTGATCTTACCCAAAATGTACGTATATCAAGGAAGTGGGAAAGAGGAGGAGAGGGAAGGGAGAAAACCTCAGGTACTATCCCCGATTCCTTGACTGTCTTACCCATGGGACCTGCTCAGAAATGTGCCACATTTTAACGTTTGTTAGAAAGAACA